ATTTTCCATGGCTGATAACAGCAATAAAATGCAGGCTTTGGTGTTTTAAAGCAGGAATCATTTTAGCTCCGTTCACTCTCATCATGGAGGATTTGCTCCTGCTGAGTTTCAGCCAATATCTGAGCAACATTTATAAAAGAAAGTGGAGCAATATAGATCCCCTTTGTAAGAAAAGCATTTGACTGGCCTGATGTTGTTACTCCTAAATCAAATAGGTCTGAAAGGGTGGAGGGGAGGGGCTGAGAGACGAGGGCCGTGCAACAGAAATCGTGTGCTGTGTATATTTAGAAGGTTTACTGGTGGAGATTAGAGTGTCCGGGTGAAGGTCCGCGGGCCAAACGTTGACACGCGCGGCAGCAGTAATAACACATGTCTCGCCGTCTGTGAAGTGTGTGATGATGATAATTCCCCGCTGTCAGTTAAAATCGGCAGCATACTGTCTCGCTGTCAGGCCAAATCTCTGGGATTATGTTATTACAGCCATAATGTGGGAGTACAGTAGCCGAGCGTGCACGCACACACACACGGAAACACCCTGAGGAAAACTGCTGCTTTGTCATTTAAAGACGTCTTAATGGACGGCGTGTGATGATACCGCTCGTGTTGGGAACAGCTCTGAATAGCAGATGGAGACGATGTCGGAGCTCGGTGGTTAAAGTCGACTTTTTCTGAGTTCAGGTCAAAGACGGGAAAAAACAGACGGATTACAAATCGGGATTATAACGTAGAGACACCAGCTGCTAATTACAGAGCAACACCTACATGAACGGGGCCCACAGGCCTCTGCTTTCAGGATTAAAGTAACACCAGCGCACAGACGAACATCCAGGCTGCAGCAGCCGTCCTCAAGTTTGGACAAATTCTCTTCTTCATTTCATTAAAGACAGATAACGTAACCCAAATTTGGATGTTTTATTTAAAGAAACCCTTTCTGCTCATGCTCAGTGCCAGTTTTTCATGCTTGGAGTCTGGAGCAGCTTTGCATGATTCACAGTTTGAAACTAATTGAGGCTTTACTGGCTTTTTAAAAGTGGAAAATATTCTTTTGTGTACTTGGACACAAATCCTTTAGCTTTCTTAGTTCGGACTCTGCTAGAGCAGCTTTGCATAAGTCCTTGTTCAAAATAAACCTCCTTCATCTTATTCTGAGGCTCAGTGTAACTTTTTA